CTGGCTTTAGTGGTTGGTGCATAAATTTGAATAATAGTGGTATTAACTGGGCTTCCCTGTAGGCGCATGGATATTATCCTATCACTTACAGCATTGTACCTAATGTACCTATTAAGGGGTGGGGTTCATTTATTTATTCAAAGGCTATTATTAAGTACCTATCATGGGCAAAGGAGTCCTGGTGTGGCGCTGTAGATTAATGCATCAGACTGCAAAGTCATTTGAACTGCAAGATTGGTGGTTCAAGCTCATAAGCTGCCTCTTGGAAATCCTACACAGGGTTGCTATGAGTTTGAATACACTCGATGACACTTAACAACAACATCATGGGCAAGATCAGTAAAAAGAGTTGTGGCCATCTGAATACGGCATAAGAAGGGTCAGAAAATGTTAAGCCCCCTTTCTGCCTGAGGGAGGTGATGGAGGCTGTGGGGAACGTTTGCTGTAAAGCCATTGCAAGTTACGGTCTAGGAATGATGTCTGTATGATCATGAATGGCCTTTCTTTCTGGAGGTTATGGTACAACTGAAGCATACTGATGGGGCCAGAGATGTGGTAAGGTGGCCTCTCAGAAGTGGATACAGCTCGCTCATCTCTGGCTACACTGTGGGAGAGGACCGTAAACCAAGCGAACCCTTTGCTATTCAGGTCATTTTGACTCATGGCAACCCATGTGGTACACAGTAGAACTGAACTCCATAGGGTTTTCATGGCTGTAATTTTTATGGAAGCAGATTTCCAGGCTTTTCTTCCACAGTGCCATTGGGTGGGCTTGAACTGCCAACTTCTAGGGTAGTAGTTGAGGTTGGCAAACCATTTATGCCACACAGGGGTCTTTAAGCTTCTTCCTCCCACCCCAGAGACACTTCAGAAGAAAGGCATAGTGATGTCCCTGAAAAACCACGGCCTTAAAAACCTTATGAAGCAGCTCTACTCTGCACACATGAGGTCATTGTGAGTTGGAAATGACCTGACAGCAACCTGAAGACCACAGAGGATGTTAACTGGCCCTGGAGAAATTCCAGGCACTCTGACCCTTGTCACACTGAACGCTCTCAAACTGCCCTCAGGTTGTCGGGGGCAGTGTCTCAACCAGCCCACAGTGAACTAACTGTGTTGTTCTTTTGGAAGTTTTCTCCTTTCTACCATGTGGCACTGTGGGTTAACGTTCTGAACTGCAAGGCTGGTTTGAATCACAAGTTTAGCAGCTCAAGCTCACCGGCCATTCTTTGGAAACCCTATACAGGTTGCTATGAGTCAGAACTAACTCGAAGGCACTTTAACAACAACAGCCAAGAATTTCAGTGATTGACTCATGGGACTGGGAGTTTGCCTTTTTGGAAATGGATTGTTGACTCATTTCATTCAATGATTTAACCTAAGTTTCTGTGTCAGGTCCTGGCTGCATACTTGATGCTGTGAATAGAATGTCCTGTGGGCCAATGTACCACTGTGCCTCCATTCTCTTGCTTAAAACTAGGCTAATACAAATTACATTCTGGAAAGTTTCCTAATGCTCAATGTAGTACTCATTTAGTTCCTTTTTTTTTTTTTGTAGGTCCATGGCCTTCAAACCACTTATGATATGAATGGTGATGTTTCTGGGCACTTTTCCTCATCAGCTCTTAAGAAGGGAAATGGCTGAGGTCTCGCTTCCTGGCTCCCCAGGATGTCTGTGTTTTCATGAAGCAGGTTTCAGAAGACAGAATTCCCCACATTTATGTCACAGGCCAAAGGGAAACTCCAAAGGCATAGAGCAGGAGTGCAGGTCCCTCTTCAGAGCACCCACTAAGGCCCTTCAAGGCACCATTTCTCTAAGGAGCAGGCTTGAGCTGACATCTTGTTTGTTTATCTAAGACATTTTCACAGCATATTCTCCTTAAGCTTGACAGCTTGTTTACAATGGGTTTCTGCCGTAGGGCAGTTTCCAAGTGCTGTCAGCTTCTGAATTACCGCTCTTGCCAGAGCTGCTCAGTACAGCATTTATCTGGGAAGGAGTTGTTCTATTTCAGTAACCTATTGCTGAGCTGACTCCACAACACGTTTTCCATACAAGTCAAAGGGGGAGAAATGCCTTTCTTTCCCTCCGGTTATTTTGCATTTTACAAAGAGCTGGAGGAGGTTGGGAGCTGGCTGACTGGGTGGGTGGGTGGCCCAGGGTAACAAGGAAGAAAACCAAGCTTTATGGAGTGGATTCCGCAGCAGAACTCTACCTGGCACTCTGATAGATGTTCTTCCACTTACTCCTTACAAGAAACTACTGACCCAGGAGTTATCGCCTATTTCCTCATATTTTTGTTTTTTTTCCCATCCAAGGAAGAACAATCAGAGAGGTCAAGTGGCCTATTTGAAGTTACACAGCTGTTGTTGTCGTTGTTAAGTGCTGTCAAGTTGGTTCCCACTCATAGTGACCTTGTATAGGGTTTCCAAGGAATGACTGGTGAGTTTGAATAGTCAACCTTGTTCAAACTGATCTTGCGGTCCAGTGCTTTATCCTACAGATAGGGTTCAAATACAGGTTTCTTGGATTCTAAACACCCATACTTCTTACTATGTAGCACTGCCTTCCAGAAACATTTCTGAAATGAAGGATGTGATCACTCTCTTTAAAAAGTGAAGCACCGATCCCACCCAAATCTGTCTTTCACCAGAAATGGAAGAGGATACCAGGCCCCACCCAGGTTTCATTGGTGATGGTGGTGGTGGTTATGTGCCGTCAGGTCGGTTCCGACTCATAGTGACCCTGTACAGGGTTTCCGAGGCTCTAAATCTTTACAGGAGCAGAAAGCCTCATCATTCTCCTGCGGAACAGCTGGTAGCTTTGAACTGCTGACCTTGAGCTTAGCAGCCCAATTCGTAACCACTACGTTACCAGAGCTCCTTCCCAGGTTTCATTAGGTGATTTTTTTCTTCCTTTCTTTCCTCCCTCTCTATGTCTAGCTATGTCTTTCCTATGTCTATAGGTCTATGTCCTATATCTATATCTTTCCTCCCTCTCTATGTCTGTTTCCTTTTTCTTTCTGGCCATTGAGTCAATTCCTACTCACAGTGATTCTATAGTCTTAGACACTCTATTTTCCAAGACTGTAGATCTTTACAGAAGCAGACTGTGAGTGCCATCGTTCTTGTGTGAAAATGATGTTGTTCCAACCAACCACCTTTGGTTAGCAGTGAAGTGCTTAACTACTGTGCCACCTGGGCTCCTTCTGGTTAGGTAAGAGTACACTTTACAAAGCAGACTTGTAAAAGGGCCTTAAATTGGTTTCGACAGCACAGTGTTTAGGTATCCACACTTTTTGAAGAGACTAGTAAACCTCCCAAGCTGGTAAAGTCTTACTCTGAATTCCTTTCTGTAGTACTTTGGCGTGCACTCTCTTACTTGACTCTTCTAGCACTAGGGGGCAGTGGGAGGGCAGGCTCTACTCTCACCACTCTACAGAAGAGGAAGGGAAATGACTTTACCAAGGTGATGCAGCTGACAGGGAGTTAGCATGTTAGACTACTTGAGTTCTTCTTTCTAACTCTCCTCCCATCAAAATGACCTCTTGGCTCCTGAATCAGCTTAATTGCTTAATTCAGGACACATTTTAGAAACATGGAGTTTTAAAGGAGGCAGAGCTACTTTGGCTTGGGGATTTGTTAGCCTGAGAACAGATGACTACATTAACCAGAAGACTCAGAAAGCAGGTCTAGCATTAGAGCACTTGTCCCTTTGTATCTGAGCACTCATGTGAAGAGAGGTACAGAGCTGGTAGAACCATGTGAGGAATATGAGGGACAACAGCTGGGGGTTCAGGCTCGGCTGGAAGCAGTGGCAGCCAATGCAACAGGGCTTGGGAATACAGAGGAAGGAGGGAAGTGTGAGGGCTAGAAGCAACTTCCACATGCTGACACTGTGCTATGGGATATGGCAACGGTACACTTTAAACAGGAAATACATATTGAGTAACAATGGAATGTGCTCAGATTAGAAACATGCAGCACAGGGGAGAGTAATGCCAGGAAGCAGGGGTCCTTGTTTCTGAAACGATTCAGAAGGTGGTGATGTCCTTCCCTGCAGGTCCCACAGGGAAGCAGAAAGAGAGAGGTCAAATGTTGCACCTTGTGGGCGCTGCCAACTGGTGCCTGAGCAATCAAACAACTGCAGGGAGCCGAAAGGTGAAAAAAGAGATATTTAAAAAAAAATTCCTCTTCAGGTGTAGCAGCAACACTTCTTGGGAAATGGCTTTTCTCTGGTGGCAGCTTCTCAGCTAGATAAATGAGTGTTTTTATGGGCAGCAGAGTCAATATCCAACACATGGAATAATCATCAAGCTCAATGCAGGTGAGGTCTAGCTGTGTCAGGACATAAGAAGAAAGGCAGCAGCAGGGAGGATTCCTATCAGTGCAGACCAAGGGCATCATTCACAACATAGTACAATCCCAGCACAAGGAGCACACACAAGAGAAAGAACACACTGTGCCCTACAACAGATGGAGTCTGAGACTACGAGAGGACAAGCTGCCCGGGGTGTGTGGCTTTGACGGTGGGCTGAGAAGCTGGGGTTTTTTATTTGATCCACTCTCAATAGCAGTGAATGTGCATTACCCCTCACCACCCCCTCACATACACTCATATGCATGAAATAACCAAACCGCATGCCCCTGCCAGCATTTCCAGGTCTGTCTTCCACCAGGCAGGTGAGACGTGGGGCTGCCAGCTCCAGCTGGCCTGAGTCCCTGGGCCCCAAGCCATACTTACTAGTGTCCAAAAGAGGTAAATAGTGAAGAGTGCGACAGTGAGTGCAATCAGTCCGACGGCTTCGAGCCGACTACTAAAGTGCAGGTGGTCCACCGCGCCGCGCAGGCAGAGCCAGCCCGAGATGGTGGCCAGGGGCGTTATAAACAAGAAGCACACCATGTCTCCAAACAGAGTCCGCTTCTCATGCTGGGGACCTGGGTTTCTGAGCCACTGCCAAGGAAAGGGAAACAGAGAAAGCAAGGGAAAGGTTAAACGCCAGTGTGGAGTGGAGACACACTGTTCTGAAGTTGTCTTTGTCTTCAGAGTCTGGGAAAAGGCCCTTTTGAGGCTCATTCCCATGCCCCCATGCACTGAATAACAGCCATTAGGACAATAATGATAATAACAACAATGATAATTTACAGTGCCCTTGCTGTAGATGATTGGCTTATTTTGAAAATAGTTCTGTGACTATTATTGTGAATCACACAGAGCCTATATGGACAGAAAGTAATTCCTGGAAGGTAACAGATGAGGTACAAACAATTCTGTTATGTGACCAGAGCCTTCCAACGTCTTGACCCTGGAAATGTGTGCAGAAAGGTAACCCTTAATTTGACATTCTCATGAACTCAGCTGGCCTGGGTTGCTCAAACTCTGCACATTGACAAACTCTGTAGGACTGGCCCTTGAACAGGCCCTGGCAATATTCTGCTTGATGAGAGTGTTTTAGTATGTCTGAGGCCTTGGGCTACAAGGTACCAGTTTGATTAGATACTTTATTCTAACCATGTAATTTATGGTGGTCTCCTGCTTCTGTTTGCCTGAAGCCTTGGGCCACATAGTACCAGTCTGATCAGATAGCTAATGTTAACAGTGTGATGTAGGGTGAATATTTGCTTTGGCTCTGGATGGCTGGAGCTGAGTAGCTGAGTCAGTCAAGCTTTTAAGCACTGCTGAGTCAGTTTCGACCCATTGCGACCCTGTACAGCGTTTCCAAGGAGCGGATGGTGAGTTAGAATCACCAACTCTAGGTTCAAACTGATCTTGTAGTCCAGTGTTTTATCCCACAACACCACACCAGGACTGACTCTCCCATGAAAATCCTGGACACCAAGCCTCAGGGAAAATTTCCTGGTTGGTCATCAGCAATTCATGCATTGTTGTTGGGAGAATCTACTGGGAGAGAACACCTGGAAGCTCGTTCCTGGTTTCCCCTGGACTTGGACTTCACCCTGTGTACCTTTTCCCTTTGCTAACTTTGTATACTTTTGCTGTAATAAACTGTGCCTATTAATCTAACAGCTTTTCTCATGGCTGCTTCTAGCAAATTATCAAGCCTGAAGGTGGTCTTGAGAACAACAGAATGAGACTCACTTGAGTCCATGAACTCAGTAATGCCCCACTGTCACCTTTTAGGACTCTGTTGTTGTTATGCATGTTGTTATGCTCCTTGTAAACCTGTATAGGGCTTCCAAGGAGCAGCTGGTGAGTTTCAAATGCTGACCTTATAGTGCAATCTGACCTCGTGGTTCCGTGTTTATTCTACACTACCACACCAGGACTCCCTTTAGGACTCTGGACCTCCTTAGTTAGGAAGGACAATCCCAAAACAGGATGAGAAAAACTTTTGTGTTGAAAGACCAGAGGTGAGAATTCTTCCAGTAACAGAAGTAGTGTTGTTGTCCTATTTAGGGAATTTTGTGGCACTGCAGGATAAGCGCAGGATCACAAGATGGATTGGAACCACAAGGTCAGAGGTTCAAACTTACAACTCATTCCTTGGAAACCCTATACTGGGTCACTATTGGTCTGACCCACCTCAACAGCACTGAACAACAGCAACAATGGAAACGATTTCCATAATTAATTCTAGGAAGAGCCAGTGCTTATATACTGATTTCAATACCCAATGGTAATGAGATCTGGTGGCTATTTTCCCAATTAGCATTCAAACATGTTGCCAAATAATCTGACACTGCCATCTCACTGTCCAGTAGTAAAACAACAGAGGTCAAGGGGTCCAGGGAAGATGTGGGGTCAAACACAGATGATGGGGTGTGCTGGGGGAAGACACTAGCTTCCATTTTACCCCCAACTCCCCAATAGGGATCCAGCACTATCTGTTGCTGAAGCATGCCCAGCAGTGCTGTGGGCTGGCCACCAAAGGGGAGCACTGAGGCTGCTAAGGAATCATGGAAGGTGTGAATGGCAGCAATTCTCGTAAAACAATTGGGGGCAGGAAAAGGACCATGAAGGAGGAGGCAGAGTGGATAAAGCTGACTAGAGAGAAAAGGGAAGGCCACATTTTCTTTGAGGAAGGAAGGAAGAAACAAAAGAGCCTCCAAGAGGGCAAATGAGTTAAGGAAAGCACAGTGGTGGAGCTGGCAAAAGCCTCAAGAAGTGAGTTAGGAGAGGCAACAGATAAAAGGTTCAACAGATAGTTGTATAGGAGGGACTCTTGCTTGAATGCTTATTTTAACAAATATTAAACGACCTCAAATTCACACATACCACCTTCAAAGGATAAACCACCTAAAAAATGGGAAGAGATGTGACAGGAGCTCAGAAACGGACATGAATAACATTAAAACGGATACTGGGGAGTTGACTTGCCTGTGAATATAAATCCAGCATAATAAATATTTTATATAAATACCAAAATGATCAATTGTTAATGGCACGAACCCTACCATGTGTTGTCATACCACCTCAGCCGTCTCAGCAGCTTCTAAGAAATTCAAAGAGCTTTTCGTAATTAACTTTTTCTTGCCTAAATACTGCAAGCACTGCTATAAAGTGGAAAGCAGAAATCAAGTATTATCATCCTAATTATTCAGAGGTTCAGCTCTAGGTGATTCGGACGTTGTAGTAAGAGGGTCAGAATCTCTATATTTTTCTTTTTTTGAAAAAATGGTTTGGTTTGTATGTTCCCTCAAAAACAGTTTGTACTATAGAAAGTTGCCTGTGTTCTTGGAAAACTAAAGTGAGTTGTTGTTGTTATGCGCCGCGGAGTTGGTTCCAGCTCATAGTGACCCTGTGCAGAGTTTCTGAGGCTGTAAATCTTTACAGGAGCAGAAAGCCTCATCATTCTCCCGCGGAACAATTGGTACTTTTGAACTGCTGACTGTGAGATTAGCAGCCCGATTTGTAACCACTATGCTACCAGAGCTCCTTAATTGTGTAAATTCATGTAAATAAAACAGTGTAAAGCCCAGCATATATTACTGTCTGGTAATATAAAGAGCTCTGGTAACGTAGTGGTTACAAATTGGGCTGTGATCTGCAAGGTCAGCAGTTCAAAACTAACAACTGTTCCGCAAGAGAAAGATGAGGCTTTCTGCTTCTACGCGTAAAGACTTACAGCCTTGGAAACCCTGTTCAGGGCCTCTGTGAGCCAGAACCGACTCCATGGCACATAACAACAATATTACTGTCATAAAAACTAACCATTACTAATACTACAAATATGCACTACTATTACTTGTTATTATTATCACTTTAGAATATTCTATTTTTGAAACTTTAATTTTTCTACCATGTACACCCCATTCTTTTCATTTTTTTTCTCTTCTAATTTTATGTGCTATCAAGGAAATTTTGAAAATTAAAATCGCAAGACATTCAGAAATCCAGAGTCTGAAACAATGGTGCCCAAATTGTAGCAATTCAACTTGCCTTGCGGTTTAGATTTTCCCTGGAAGCAAATCCAGAGGCCTGGTGTACTCTTCCCTGTACACTCACAAGACTAAACAGAGGAAGCCCTCAATAAATATGCAACAGCTATGCACATACGCTCGGACCTCACCGGTAAAGACTTGCTACCTCAATTTCTTTTGCTTGCTGTCTTAGGCTGGGTTCTCAAGAGAAGCAAAACTAGAAAAGCTTATACAAGGGTGAGTCAAAAATTATCCGCATTCTGGGTATAGAATTTTAATCAACTTTTAGAAAATACAAATATATCATTTTTTTAAAAAACATATTCTCCTTGCTTCTCAATATACTTTTGTCCATGTGTCAACAAACTTTCATATTCCCTTATTTCAAAATGTTTTAGGTTGCACTGCAGGCCATGAATGCACCACTGTTTTCAATTATTTATCAGAAGTGAAACTTCGTTCTCCAAAGGCTACTTTCAGGAGACCAAATGGCTGAAAGTATGATGGAGCAAGATCAGGACTAGAAGGAGGATGATTTAATACCTCAAAATGAAGAGCTTTTGCTGAGTGGCAACAGTGTGGGCAGACGTGTTTGAAAGTGCCTTATCATGCAAGATCAAAATGCCCTTGGATAGCAGTCCTCTGAGTTTTATCTGAAGTTTAGGTTTCAGCTCTTCAGTGAGCATCACATTAATGAGCACTGTTGATTGTTGAATTTTTTCCTGATCGTGTTCCAACTCTGGCCCTCGAGAATCCCAGAAAACTGTAAGCATAATTTTCAGCTGGTGGTTGACTTTTGAACTTTTTCATGGTCGGCGATGGAGTATGTTTCCATTCTATACTCTGTTATTTACTCTCAGGTTTGCAGTGATGAATCCATGTCTTGTCACCAGTAATGGTTTTCTTCAAAGAAACTTTTACCTTTCTTTGAGTATCAGCCCAAATTTTGTTTGCAGATGTCCAAATGTTTCTGTTTATGCTCTTCCATGAGTTGTTTTGGTACTCATTTTGCACAAATTTTTTGAAACCCAAGTCTGTCATGGATTATTTCATAGGCAGAGTCATGGCTGATTTACAAATGATTTGCCACATAATCCACTATCACTCATCTATTCAACAGAGTCATTTCATGTACATGTTCAATGTTGTTATCAACCATGGATCTGGACGGTGTTTTAATATAATCAGAGTCCGGATAATTTTTGACTCACCTGTATATGTGCTAGTATGGCACTGCTGATTAATGCACTAGACTGCAAGGTTAGTTTGAACTGCAAAGTTGGCAGTTCAGGCTCACCAGCCTATATACTGCCTATATATAGTGGAAACCCTATACAGGGTTGCTATGGGTCAGAACTAACTCGACAGCACTTAACAACAACAACTTGTATATATATATATATATATATATATGTTTATATCAAGGAAATGGCTTGCACATTTATGGAGGTGAACAAGTCCAAAGTTCATGAGCCAGATGTCAGGCTGGAGGCTTCCAACTCACTTAGCTACAGGGATGATGAACCAAGATCAGCAGTCAGATGGTAAGCAGGCAGGTCAGGGAGGTAAGAT